GTGAATGGCAGAATCTTATATAAGCTGATGTAACATCAACTCCATGATGCGGTGGAGATCACTCCAGTGCTAGAGGTTTATTAACTTTGTTTTCTCAATTACATACTTCTGTTGTGTTCTTTTGAGTGTTCAGTGACTGATTTTTCTTTGCTTTTTTGGTTTGCTGTGGGCCAGTTCTACCCAGAGGTCATTCTGACCCTGGCTGCAAACGATGGGCCGGATAACTGGAACTGCAGATAAGGGATAACACTCCATCAACAAATTCCCTCCTTAAAACACATTCTTGTCCTATGGGTTATTTATTACTTCTCTGATATTAGTTTGGGCAGAAACAAATTGGGAAAGTCTGAAAGTAGTATAATTGAAAGGCAGTGGGTATCAATAAGGCTTTTGATAGTGCAGTTCATTTGCCACTGCTATCAGTGGCTTCAGAGAAAATATGTGGGTATATTTTGTTTTATCTGTGAATGAAAGTTTTGGGTTAGAATTTTCTATAACTGGCCAACATTCCGCCTATATGAGAAGACTGAGATCACTCTATCAACTGTCCAAACCTGCAGGTGGTTTGAAGGGAAAAAAATCCTTGGGCCTGGAAGGTGGGAGGAATGCTCTCACTCGGTCAAACATCTCCTGCTGACACAAAGACTTCTCCATTGGCTTCCACTAACACATATGGAAAGGGGGGAGTTATGGGAAGCTACTTTTGAGCTGAATGGGGCATTCAGATGATACAGAGTGTGCAGGAGTGCGAAAATTGTGGCCTGCTTTTATTCTTTCTGTGCAAGGGCTCCTACCTTAACGGTGGGGCAAATATTTTGGCTTCTTTGGATGTATTGGGGGGCGGGGGGAGGACAGGGAGAGGTTTTAAAGGGCAAAATATGTGCCTTAAGCCATGCAAATATTTAAATGCCTGAGAACCCTCCCAAAGTGAGGCTGGGAAGTGAGAAGTCTTGGGTCAGCATTCAGAATAAACATTACTATAAGCAAACCTCTAGTTTGCATTGGCACAGCACATCTGAAATACAGCGATTATAACAGTAGCCTGCCTTGCAGAGTTATTGTACCACGAAATGTTCTTGAAACAAGCCGAGCCTGACTGTTACTGAAGCTTCAAGTGTGTTTCAGAGCATATACTATCTACAACTTGTAGGTTTGTTCCACCTTCTCATTTGTTAGTGTGGCAGAGAATGATATTCAGGTGGAAGCTTCAAAAATATTTACTTTCTTAGTAAATGTATTGCTGGTGGTGGTGGTGGTGGGGTTAAGTTATTCTTACAGCAGTCGTCTGCTCTAAGTCACCTAGTAGGAAAACTGCAGACTCTTCCATCAAAATTTCTCTAGGGAAAGGCGAAATTCCCCAACAGATTCTCAGGGCAGAGGCCTAACCCCAGCAGTGATTTATGGCATTTTTTTCCTCCCTCCCTCTCTATTCCCCATTCCCTACCTTTATTTGCCTGTGCTAGTGTTGGCAGCAGCAACTGTGCTAGCAAGCTGGTCCCTATTTTGCATTTAAAAATGGTGGGCCTGTTTTCTTTTTCTTGAGATGGGGTAAAATGAGCTATGGAATCCCACTGGATGACTTGGGCCGGTCACTTACTCTCAGCTCAACCTACTTCACAGGGTTGTTGTAGAGAAAAACTGGATGAAGGAGTCCAGTGTGTACTGGGCACTTTCTAAAAAAAAGGCATACATTTAACAAAGAAAGAAAGAGAAAGAAAAAGAATCACGTACCCCCCCCCCGCCCTTAAAATGGTTTGGGAAAGTTTAGCTCAGATCTAATTATTATCACTGTGCAATAAAACAATAATTATAATTGGTTCAATCTGGAAACAAGACAAGAGAATTTGGAACTCCAAATGCAAGAAACGTTTGGGAGAAAGAATTTAAAAATAATCTGTACTGAACTACTCAATCTGTTCTCTATCATAACCCCTAAATCTTTATTGGGAGTGTTTCTCATTAGCTCATTAGTCTTCAGCTTAGATTTGGCTATTTGATTCTTTCTTTTTGTGCAATATTTTATACTGATCTTACTGAAGGCTTTTTGTGTTATCTACAAAATGGTGTTGGCTTAGTAAATTTTCTGTGTGTTTTTGTTTGCACGGGTGAGGGAGTTGGGCAAGACGTTCTTACATCATAAATTTAATTCCGGATCTTTATCATTCAAAAGAAACTCATCAGAGTTGAGGCTTAGCAACATTTTTGGAATTTCTATCTATTATTATTGCAGAGAAGAGAGTTTTCTGGCCTATTCAGACCAAACTCTTGTGACCAGAAGATATCAAAAGCCATTTTGGAATCATGCTGACCATCCATAATAATAAAATCCTCCTTCCTAAATCATAGGGTTGTAAGGGACCTTAAAATCATTTAGTCCAGTTGTTTCTCACCCTTATCAACTTTAAGATGTGTGGACTTCAACTTGCACAATTCTGGGAGTTGAAGTCCACGCATCTTAAAGTTGCTGACGTTGAGAAACACTGATCAATCCACTGCAGGACCCATTACAGCATCTCTGACAGATAGCCTTTCAGTCTTTGTCTGAAGGACAACTCACCACTTCATGTAGCAGCCTGTTCTACTCCTTCCTTGTAGCTTTAATTCACTGCTTATGGTTGTGCCCTCTGGAGCAAGAGAAAAAAACCTCCATCCTATTACATCTCCCCTTGATCATCCGTTCTTCCCTCAGTGGCTTAACTATGATCCATTTCCATTCTGAGAGAAGACAGATGCAAAATAGGAGTTAAGAGGTTCTGCTTTCTTACCAACAGCTATTACCAGTTCATTGCTTTCCCTTGCAATGGGCCTATGTCTTTGACTTCTCCTTTGTAACCATCACAAATAATCTGTTTGAGTTGTTTTTGGTATCTCCCACAAGTCTTAGCTAATTTTAGATTTTCTGGCATAATTCCTAGAGTTTCTGGAAATTACCTTGTATTGTTCTGTGGTTAGGTGTTCTTTCCAGTTCCTATTTATGCCCTTTTTAAAAAAATCTCTAGCACTATAGAAAATTCTGCATACAGTATATCCAGTCCAGACTGGTCTCTTTAGATTTCTTCCATTTTTCATTCCTCTTGTAAGAATGGTCATTTCAAAGGATTTTTCATTCTTCCTTAAGACTTTTCTCCTTCAGAATTTCAAGCCGCTAGATCTTGCCTACATTTTCCCCAAATCTGCTCTTCTGAAGTCCAGTACATAGATCTGACTCTTCTCACTGAAGTTAGTTTACAAGTTCACCACTGACAATTCCACCACCATCAGATTAATTTAATAATTTGCAAACATTGTCTTAACAAATCTGCCAGACAAAGACTACAACTTGAAAGTGCAAATAGATAAGACATGGGGAATCTGACTTAAAAAGTAGCTGTGGTTGTTGTCTAGTCCATTCTAGACTAAGTGGAACAGAGGTGGGTAATTTGGGACCCAGCCATTATCTTAGCTTGTTATGAGAACCATCACATTAAGCCATAATTATAAGCTATAATTATTTGGTTAAGCCTTAACAGGTTATTCAACATTTCAACTGGGCATAGCAATACATATATCGTGTTTACTGAACCCAATCCCATAACAGTGGAGGAAGGGGGAAGGTAACTGTTTATTATGTCATTTTTCTAATTGTAATCTCTCCTCTCTCCTCCTTTTGTCTTAACATATAGTTAGCATATAACACCACTTAGCTAACATATAGTTAGCTAAGTGGTGCTCCTTTGCTATCCTTGTGGGCAAACAGGAATTTGGGGGATTTAAATAGGGAAAATAGCATAGGAATAGGAAGAGTTAATCTGACCTTTTCACCCAGGATTGTGGCCTCAATCCAATCCATTCCTGTGCATGTTTCAACTTTTAAAAATGGGGGCTATGCTAAACACAAATCTTCTTCATATTCATTAAAGGGTGACCTGCTTCTTTGCAAACAGAATGAAGACATGGAAGGAAACCTTCCTTCTGGTGAGATTTGCTCAAAATTAGCCAAGGTCCTTGTTCCAGAGGTGGGTGAAGTTAGAACCCATAGTAGATCGTTGCAAAATAAGCATCCGTAGCCAGAAATCTCTCTTTCATAAGTTGTGAAGTTTCTTCCGTCAGCTTTGTACTTAAGGAACAGAGTAGTATCAATAACCTACAGTGGACTGGTAAAAGGGATATACTTTTGACAATACACAAAGATCTGGATTGAGATTTCTGATTTTGAGTTGGAGATTCCTCACCTTTACATTATATAGATTGGATTGCATTCATGTTTCTTTGATCTGAAGAATGGGAACCCATACATTAAAAAAAGGGAAGCAAGGATCTACGGTCCCAACAGTGTATATTGCCTGACCAACTGTATTAAGTCTCATAAAATCTGGCACTTATTGCCAAGGTAAACATAGAAAGACCTAAGAGAGTGGCACAACATGTATTTTGTACACCAAAAGCTTCAGGTTTGGTTTCTGGCCTTTCAGATTCTCTAATGGGATCTCAGGTAGAAAAACAACTGGGAAATCAACTTGCCCAAGATTTTGGAGAGGTGATGCCAGTTGTGGTAGATGGTTCTGATCTAGATAGACCAGTGTCAACTTGGTATAAATCTGTTTCGTCTGCTCATTAAAGAAGCCCATAGTCTACAGGGATGAACAGCAGGTAAGCAAAAGTAGATTACAATTTTGATCTCTATCATGAAAACAATCAGTTTAGTTTGGAAAGCACATTGTCAGATAGTTTAGTAAGTAGACAACTTTTGAAAGTTACTGATGATATATATAGTTCTCATTGATCTCAATAAATCTATTTTGAATATGGCTAAGTTTGCAGCTGACCTTATGTGCTTTATCAATTGGCTAAATCAAGATATTTCAGCAATAATATCATACATTGGTAGGTACATTTAACCCCATCAGTTGAATTATATATATCAGTGTGGTATGCCTGAGAACTAAATAGCTGTATAGCAATTTGAGATTATGGAAAACATTTTATCATATTTTGTAATTCACCTTCATCTTGCCAGGGAAGCAAGGATCACTCTTTGATAACCTTTGACATAAATCTATGGCCATTCTGCTTCAGTTTGCATGATTCAGAGGGACTAATGAATAGATTGTTCCATCGCTGGTTTTGGAAGCTGGTGTATAATGCCCATTTTTCATATGGGAGGTATGAACAGAAGAGGAGGTTTCCGTTCTATAGATCTGAGCATACATTTCACAGCAGCCAAACTTACTTAGTAAGATGAAAAAATCCCTGCGAAAAGTCTTGGTGAAGATGGCATAAAGAAATGGATTGGCACATGAATTAATGGGGTAGAACAAAACAAGGAGGATCTTTGAATTGGATACAGTGATCAGAGGGACCTTGAGTGATGCTGAAATGGCAAAAAAGGAGATTGGTGCCATGCAAAGGAAGTCTGTGAAGATCAGTATAGCCATGCGTTTGGCAATTTTGGTGTCACTGTTGGATGAGAAAACATTGGGATTCCTCACAGTGAAGTAGATGCTGATGTAGCAGGTACAGATGATAACAAATGCAAGAATATTTAATACCAACAAAAACATGATGTAGGCTTGGGCAAGCAGAGTTTCTATATCCATAGGTAGGCAGATG